AGAGCTGGTTCTTCAAAAGAATAAACAAAATTGTCAAACTTTTAGTGAAATTTATCAAAAAAACAGAAAGAAAAGACCCAAATCCAAGCAATCAGGAATGAAAAGGGTGAAATTACAATGGACCCAGAAGAAATCAAAAGGATCATCAATACTTTCTTCAAGAAACTATACACCCATAAGATAGAAAATACAGAAGAAATGGACAGATTATTAGACATGTGTGAATTACAAAAGTTGAACGAAGAAGACCTAAAAATTCTAAACAACACAATATTAACCAATTAAATAGACAGTATAATAAAAAACTTACTAACTAAGAAAACCAGGGCATTGGTGGCTTCATTGCTGAATTCTAAAAGACATTTAGAGAACTATTGCCACTACTGTTTAAATACTTCCATTAAATTGAAAGGGAAGCAATACTCCCAAATTCATTCTGATAAGCAAGCATCGCTTGATCCCAAGAGAAGAGAAAGACACAACCAAAAAGAAAAAAGATAAGAACTATAGGCCAAATCTCAAAAATGAAAATAGGTGTAAAAAATCTTAATAAGATACTGGCAAATAGATTGCAGAAGGTCAGCAAGATGATCATACAACCTAACCAAGTGGGATTCATTCCAGTGATTCAGGGATGGTTTAAAATATGCCAGAAAATAAATGTAATCACTATATTAATAGAGACAAGGACAGAAATATATTATCATTTCAATAGATGCAGAAAAAGAGTTCAATAAAATTCAACATTCATTCATGATAATAACTATACAGAAAATTGGAATAGATGATCTCTACCTCAAGCTGATAAAAGTCATCTAAGGAAAACCAACAGTCAATATCATACTAAATGGTCAAAACTGACATTTTTCACACTAAAATCAGGAACAAGACAAAGATGACCACTATCATTACTCCTGTTCAATACAGTTTTGGGAACATTAGCCACAATAATTATATAAGAGAAAGAAATAAAAGGAATAAAGATAGGACAAAGTCATATTTTCATTATTTGCAGATGACATGATCATGATTCTCTATATAGAATCACTTAAGAACTCTACCAATTTCTTCTAGACTTAATAACCAAATTCAGTAGAGTAGCTGCATACAAGGTAAACACACAAAATTCATTATCTTTCCTTTTCACAAACAACAGCCTCACTGAAAAACAACTGAAGAAACAACTCCCTTCACAATATCATCTAAAAACATGAAATACCTAGGAAACAACCCAAGAAATAAATGACCTCTACTCTGAAAACTATATAACTCTGAAAAAAGAGATTAAAGAGGATATCAGAAAATGGAAAGATGTTCCTTGCTTCTGGCTAGGAAAAATTGATATAGTAAAAGTGGCCATACCTCCAAAACTGCTATCTGCATTTAATGCAATCCCAATTGAAATTCCAACAGTGTATTTCACAGACCTTGAGAAAACAGTAAAAGTTGATTTGGAAAAAGAAGAGACCTAGAAAAGCAATTCTAGGCAACAAAGACAAGGTATAGGGCAAGGCAATCCCCAATTTGAAACTATACTACAAAGTTACTGTGATAAAAACAGCATGGTATCGACAAAGAAACCTATCTGAGGAACAGTGGAATAGAATAGAAGTGCAGAAACAACTCCAGACACATGCAGCTACCTTATCATTCACAAAGTAGCCAAGCATCCTCATTGAAGGAAAGAGAGCCTCTTTAATAAATGGTACTTTAAAAAGTGGGTTTCAAATTCCAAAGATTACAACTAGGCCTGTATTTTTTCACCATGTGCTAAACTAAAATCAAAATGAATTAAAGATCTAACTAAAAAGAGAAACACTAAACCAGCTGGAAAAGAGGTTAGGTAGAATTCTTGAAGACATTGGTGTAGGAAAAGTTTTTATGAACAAAATCTCAGTTGCCTGTGAATGAGCACAAACAATCAAAAAATGGGATGTCTTCTTATTAAAAATCTTCTGCACAGCAAGAGAAACTAACAACAGTGTGAAGAGAAAACCCACAATGTGGGAAAATATTCTTACCAGCTGTTCCTCAGACAAAGATCTACTATCTAGAATATATAAAGGACTTATTTAGTCAGACCTCCCAAATTTAAAGACCCAATCCAAGAATGGGCATCTGAAATGAATGGACATTTCTCTGACAAAAAATAGTAATAGCAAACACACATTTGAAAAAAATGTTCAACATTACTGGTCATTCTAAAAATGTGAATGAAAACAATGCTGAGATTCCACCTCACTCTGGAAAGAATGGCTGCTATCATGAAATCAATGCCAAATGCTGGCCAGAATGCTGGGAAAAAGGAACTCTTCTCCATCATTGGTGGGAGTGTAGATTGATGAAACCAATATGGAAATCAGTAGAAATTTACCTCAAGTAACTAGAATTGGAGGTCCTAGTTGAGCCAGCTATTACCCGGCAGGGTAACTTCCCAAAAGAATTAAAAGAATCATACCACAGCAATATATGTGCACTCATCTTCTTAGTGGCACAGTTTGTAGTAGCTAAATCTGAAAACATTCCAGTTTCCCATCAACTGGAAACTGGATAAAGAAAATGCATTTTTTTTGTATAATATGGAGTATTACTCAACCACAAAGAATGAGAAACTAGAGACATTTATAGCTAAATTGATGCACATTGAAACCATAATCCTACATTAAATAAACGGGACAAACATGTGTGAATACCGAATTGTTTCTCTGGTGTGAAAAACTGAAAGTGTAAATAAGAACAGAAATGTATACTTGATAATGTGAAATGGGAAGAAAATGTCTAAAGGAATAACGGAAGTGGGTGGGATGGGGAAAGCAAATAAGAGAAAAGAAAAAAATATGAGAAAAGGAAAAACTGGAAACAAAGTTTTTGTAAATAGGGAAGGGTAAAGAGGGGGTGTAGGGATGGCAGGGCAATGGGGAAAAATAAGAACCAAAATACATCATGTATAGGACCAAGATCCCAGTGATTAATGTAACTGTATAGTATACATAAAATGTATAAATACACTTTATGGAAAAAATGTTTACCCATGTATCTCACTATGCACTTAATTAAAATAAAAATGGATCAAAGATATAAATGTTAAAAAAGAAGCACTTAATCTGCTGGAAAATAAAATAAGCAAAACACTTCTAGACACAGACATAGGCTGAGACCTTCTGAAGAGAACACCAGGTACAGAAGAAATAATAGCAAGAATCAAAAAGTGGGCCAAGGGCAGAGGATTTAGCTTAGTGGTTCCACTGCCTGCTTTGCAAGTGGAAGGACCCAAGTTTGATCCCTGGTACAAAAGAAAAGGCCAATATCAAATTAAAAAATCTCTGCACAGAAAATGAAACCACCAACAAACTAAAGATATAGCCTGCAGAATGATAATTTTTTATCTGCCAGTCCTTAAAGAACGAGAATTATGCCTGTCCTTAAAGAACTAATTTATGAACTAATATAATATTTATATATAAAATGCACACACATATGTGTGTGTATGTGTGTGTATGTGTGTGTGTGTGTGTGGTCTGATAAGATGAATTTGATGCATGAAAAATCAAAAGGGTGTATAGGGAAGGAGAAAATAGTTGAAAGATGTAATGTACATATGCCAATTCCCTACATTGAAGGTAAACATTATGTACTGCAAACATGCACTGATAAGAATAGAAAATTATTTTGTTTTTAAGTGATACAATTCTGGGTATATGATATTGTAGAAAAAGTAAACATTGACTAAGTGATTATCAATTCTATGTTAGTGTCCTAATTGAGTTAAATCAGGAGATAAAGAAAGAAAAAAAAAAGGAAACCACAAAAATCAGATGCCTCAAGCTAAAGGATAAAGCAATGGGTATCCAAAGTGAATACTCTCTTTTCAGATGAAGTACAAGTGTCCAAAAATATATGAAACAGTGTTCAAGATCATTTGTCATTTGAAAAATGCAAGTTACAACACTGAGATTACATCTCATTCGAGAAACAATGGCTATATTCAATAAATAAAATAATAAGAACTGCTGCAGAGGCTGCAGGGAAAAAGGAGCACTTCTCCATAGTTGGTGGCAGTTAGACATAGTACAAGCACTATGAAAATTAGTATGGCTTCCTCAAAAATTAAAAATAAAGGGCTTGAGATTTAGCTCAGTGGATCTGCTGCTTGCCTCACAAGTGCAAGGTCCTGAGATATATCCCTGGTACAAAAGATAATAATATAATAATCATAAAATAAAAACAAAAATTTCATTTAACTCAGATTTTTCCCTTCTTGATATTCCCAAAAGTTATTGCCATTATATAACAGTGATATATGCACACCCATGTTTATATGGTAGCAGCTTGTACAATTCATAAAAATAAGTTTTTCAAGATTCTTATATGTTTATGAAAAGATGAATTGATAAAGAAAATGTAATATTTAAACACAGTGGTCTAATATTGTGCCATAAAGTATGATAAACTTTTGTCATTTGTAGGAAAATGGACAATAGTTTTATGTGAAATAAATCAGACACACGAGCTCTAACACTACATTGATTCTCTTATATGAGTAACCCAATGCATAATGAAAGTGCAAAATAGAAGATAGACAATAAGAAATACCAAAAAGGATGTTTGGCCTATGAGAAGTTAACCCATAGCCAGAGAGCGAGGGGAGAAGGAGAAGAAGAAAATGAAATCAAAGGGGGAGTGGTTATGAAGTTCTGTGTACATGAATCAAGACCCTTTAAGGAATTTGATCATCATGTACTTTATGTAAAAACACAATATATATATGTAACAAAGGCTCCAAGAGATGCAGAGATGGGAGGAAGGGAACTGAGGGGGTTAAAATGAAAGAAGAAATGGCAGTACATTTACCAACTCCTCGCAATGAATGTAATCATTAAGAACTACAAATATATATCAATAGAAAGAATAAAATATACAAAAATTGAAGTAATTGTAATTGAAAATCTGAGTTACTGTTCTTAAACTTAAAATGTTGAGTAAATGATAAGAAAACATACCGAAACAGAGAACTCCACATCTGAATGTCTCCATTGATCACTTCTGCAAAACACCTAACAAAGAAATAATTATTTAAAAACTCTTCAAATTATACAAAATGTGGAAATGCTTATCAATATATTTTATGAGATTGTAACATTAATACGAATATCTGGCCAGTTAAATAGTAAAATTACAAGTGTTTATCTCATAAATAAATATACAAAAGTCAAATATTTTTAGAAAAGTTTTGAAAAAAAATTTTGGAAAATATTATTTTACCACCTTGTGCAGCTTACTTCAGTTTGGTTTAACATTTGAAAATACATGAAGATATCAGAATAATGAAGAAAAATGATGTGATCTTGTTAACATACAGAAAATGTATTTAATGAAATACAAAACCTATCAATTTAATTATAATATTTATTGCAAACAACAAATAGGAGCTTCGTCAATATATTTTTAACATTTTATTGCTATATGTTTGTTTTGGCAAATTGGTGCATATGTTGATATTTTTTCAAGTATTCTTAATAGTATAAAAGAATTCTATATTAAATGTATAAAAACTCTAATCTCTTTGATTAAGAGTTTGAAGATTTTAATGAGCCCCAAAACAGGACAAGAATGTACATTAGTAAGTTTGATTTAATTTTTTCTTTTTTTTAGTTAACCTTTGAAAGAACAAAATGAGAGAAAAGAAAATAAATTTGAAATCACTTATATTAGGAAAAAGACATAAAATTGTTATTATTTACAGGCATCATTGTTCTTTACATAAAAATTCAGAATATCTACAGGTATATTATTAGAATCAATGAGTACATTTGTTAAGACCAGACATGTTGAAAATAAATAAAAAACATACACTGAAGAAAGTAGAGCTCCTTTAGTAAATTTGCTGGGAAAATTGTAATTACAATGAATCAATCTAGACACACATCTATCAGAACAAAATGCAAAATATCAAAATTCTTGAAAATATCAATATAAAAATAGAAATGAAATATCCTGGAAGATAAAATAGTTAAAACTTTCAGTAATAGGAATACGCAAGAAGTTTCTGAATAGAAACTACTGAAAAGATATAATAAAAAATGCAACAAATGGGATTATGTCAAAATAAAGACATCTACACAAAACATAAAGAAGTAGAGTGATTAGACAACATACAGAATGGGAAAAATTATCTAGCTACTCTTTGGACAAGGGATTAGCAACTAGAATATATAAAGGACTAAAAATAATGTGGCACATCCAAAATAAAAGGTCCGATCAAAAAGGGGCAAATGAGGGCTAGGGATTTAGCTTAGTGGTTCCACCTCCTGCCTCCCATGCACAAGGAGCCAAATTCGATCCTCACTACCAAACCAAATCAAACCAAACAACCACATAATCCAAAAAGGGCAAATAAAATTAATATACATACTTCAAGAAAAAATATTCAATTGGCCAATACATATGTGAAAAAATGTTCCACATCTTTGACTGTAACAAAATGCAAATTAAAACAAAAACTGGGATTCCATCTGATTAAAGAATAATGCTTATTAATCAGAACTAGAAAAAATAGCAAATGCTGACAAGTTTGAGAAGAAAAACAAATCCTTTTTCATCGTTTTTTTTCAGCTTTAATTGAGTTTATTGGTACATTTTAGGGATACAGTACAGTTACATTCATTGTTGGGATCTTGTACCTCTACATGACCCTTTTTCATTGTTGATGCGAATGTAAATGGGTTTAACCACTATGTAACACTTTGGAGATTTCTCCAGAAAACTGAAGACATAAATTCCACTAACCCATGTATGTGTATGAATTAAACATATTATAATGCAGTGATATATGTATACTCACGTTTATAGTAGTTACTCATAAAGGTAAAATATTGAAGCAGTCTATATTCCCATCAACAGACAAATGAATAAAGAAAATTTGGGCATGGTGCAGTGGCACACTCAGGAGGCTGAGGCACAAGGAGGAGATTGAGACCACATTCAAATACATAGTAAGCTCAAACCCAGCCTGAATACAAAGTGAGACTCTGTTTTAAAAAGCCAAAAAATAAGAAAGAAAAGAAAATGCACACAATAGTGTACTACCCAGCAATAAAAAAAGATAAATTTGTAGGCAATGTCATTGGTAGGAAAATGAATACACCTTGAGAACAGAATATAAGTGAAATAAATATGGCATGGGTGGGTAAATATTGCATGGCTTTATTTTACCAGATACTCCAAAGCATAAATAATTTAGAGTAAAATAAAAGCATAGATCATAGGTAAGAAGATGTTAAATATTGTAGAGATGAGAAGGGAATCTGGGAGAGGTTGGGTCTTCAGGGATGTGAGGAGAAGTAAAAAGAATTAAGATGTCGGATCCCCATGAACAGTGGTGTGGACCAGAGCAGCACAGCTGCAGGAAGATCCCTGCCAGGGCACACAAGCCAAAGCCAAGGGCTGCCCAGAAAAGAACTGCACAGGCTAGTAAGCATCAGCCAGAGGCTTGCCCCAATACCATTGGTAAGTGCATGGAGACCCTAGCAAGAAGCCTGCTCAGACACCATGGATTGGAGTGCACAGGCCCCAGCCAAAGGCCCTCCCTGAAAATAGGGGCTACATGAAGCCTGAGGCATGCCTAGATACTACCCCAAGTGTGTACAGGCCCCACCCAGCAGCCTGCCCAGACAACAAGTCAGCTCAGGGATACAGAAGGCAAAGATTTGGAATGCAGGAATTGGTGCACTGGTGGGAAGCAGAAAAAAGGTTGCTTGGTGGTTTGCAGAGAATTGAAGACTACTGGGTGAGCAAAAAGTTGCTTCAGCAAAGGCAGAGCAGGCTGCACCTGTTGAAATGAGAAGACATGTAAATAAGTACCAAAATGAGAATTCCAGATCACCTAAGGCAATCCCAGAGGGCAACAAGATGGAACAATCTGATACTCAATAACCTGGACTCCCTGAACTGGCAACAAAAAGGGATCTGGACAAAGAAATCAGAAATAATTTCTCGGATAACAACAGAGATTGTGTCCGTGCTTCAAGACATGATTAATAAATCTAGAGCAGAGACAGAAAAAAAATAGAGGAGCCGGGGAACATGATGGAATCCCAACGTGGGAAACAAATGGAATCAGTAAAACAGATACAATAAGATATCCAGAATATTAAAAACTGCATTGAATGTTTACACAGGAGAATGCTCGAGTGTGAGGACAGAATTTCAGATATAGAAGGCAGGATTGCAAAAAGTGATCAGGAAAAGAAAAAATTTCTTAAAAATAGTAAAGTACCACTAGAAATCAATCCAGCAGCTACTAGATGATGCAAAGAAGAATGTAAAACAGATCTGAATCAATGGAGAAACAGGAGAGAATGAAAATGACATTTAAAAAAACTGATCACAGAAGTAATGCCAGAAAACTTCCCAAGTCGGGGAAAAGAACTTCACATACAGATAAGTGAAGCATACAGGACTCCAACAAGTCATGATTTAAAAAAAAAAAAAATCCCTACACCGAGGCATATAATAGTTAAGATTCCAGAAACTCCACAGAACAAAATCTACAAGGAGTTAAAGAGAAACAAATCACATGCAATGCCCAGCAGAATCACAGCAGACTTGTCCAAACAAACCCGCAAGGCAAGAAGACATTGGAGCAACATATTTCAAGCCCTAAGATTAAACAACTTCCAACACAGATTGATCTACCCTGGGAAACTATCTTTCAAAATTGATGGAAAAATAAGATACTTTCATGACAAAGAGCATCTGAGGAACTTCATGAATACCAAACCAGCATTCCAAACATTTTTAAACAGTATCCTAGGAAAAGACAATGAGGATCACAACCCCAGGAAGCTCAACAGAACAAATCCATAATGAGTGACAAGAAATCCAAAAGAAAGAAAAAGTCATGACAAGGATAAGTCAATACATATCCGTTATAACCATCAATGTTAATAGTCTCAACTAACCAACCAAATGAAATAGCCTGGCAGAAAGGGTCAAGAAGCAAGAAATGACAATATGCTGCATACAAGAAACACACTTAATTAAAAAAATAGACTCATAAGCTGAAAGATAAATGGGCAGAAAACAACACTCGATGTGACAAGAACCCTCCCCCCCAAAAAAGGAGTAGCTATTATATTTGCAGATCAAATGGATTTCATACCAATACTGATTAAGAGAGACAAAGAAGGACATTACATCCTTGTAAAGGGAAAATTCCAAGAGGAAGAGATGACAATCATAAATATATATGCACCAAATACTAGTGTACCAGACTGTGTAAAACAAAACTAACTGACATGAAAAATCAAATAAGCTCTAAATCAAAAGTGGTGGGGACCTCAATACTTCGCTATCACAAATAGAAAAATAAACTAGACAGAAAATAAATAATAAAATACCACAACTCAATCAAACTCTCAAACAAATGAACTTAACAAATGTTTACAGAATATTCCACCCCATAAAATTATACTACACATTCTTTTCAGCTGTGCATGGGTTGTTCTCCAAAATAGACCACATATTTCTACATAGAACATGCTTATGTGGGTGAAAGGAATTGAAGTAATCTCCAGTACATAATCAGAACATAGTGTGATAAAATTGGAGATCAATAGCAAAAGAAACCTCAAGAACTTCATAAACACATAAAAATGTAACAACATACATCTGAATAACCAATGAGTCACAGAAGAAATTAAAGAAGAAATCAGACAGTTTCTACAATCAAACAACAATTTCAATACAACATAATGGAATCTATGGGACATAATGAAAGCTGTCTTACTAGAGAAATTCACAGCAGTGAATACACATATTAGGAAAGCAGAGTGAGCATAATTAAACAACCTGATGCTTATTCTTAAGCTTCTAGAAAAAGAAGAGCAGGACAAAAACAATGCTCATACAAGGGAGGAAATTATAAACATTGGAGCAGAAATCAGTGCAATCAGACTAAGAGAATGATACAAAATATCAATGAGGCAGAGTTGGTTCTTTGAAAAAAAATAAACAAAATTGACAAATCCTTAGCCAACTTCTCAAAAAGGGAAAG